ATGTTTGCCAATATAAGAAAATGAACGTATGACCAAGAAATTCAAATAAAGATGTATTGGAATAAAATGAAATCAATTTTAAAAAAATAAGTCAAATTCAAATAATTAACTTAAGCCTTGGATCTTTGTCGCGGAAAAAATTGCAATTGACTATGGAGAATAAGTTGCTGGTGTACAAAGTAGTGAAACTAGTTTGGACATACGGTATTCAAATGTGGAGTTTAACGAGATCCACATATTTCAATCTAAATATCGTTTTTTAGTGAAGAGTATACCTTGTGTAGCGACCAAGGGTAGAGTCGTGGTACTTTGGGATTCCTACTAAAACTTCTTTCCTTCATAAGCATTAATGGAGAACACCCCTGATATATTTATCGGTATTAGTCCCCGAAGTACCCGACCTAAGAAAAAAACCTACAAAAAATATCATTATATCTCAACATAGTCTTATTTAAGCTGGATACACTTTTTCCAGCGATATTCAATGGCTTCGATACTATGTTTATAGTGAGAACCTTCGAGCTCTACTAAATAGCCAGAACTGCAGGCAAATCTTTTACCACCGAGCTAGTGTTTTTAGTTTGGAAAGAGAAAATAATCCGAGAGTGCTAAATCCGGTGAATAGGGTGCGTGAGAAAGCATTTCGAACTTTATCATCGATTTTGGCCATTGCGATAACGGATGTGTGAACTGGTGCATTATTTTGATTGTGACCATGTCTGCTAGCTTTCAGTCGACGATTATCCAATATTATTTTGTGGATTTCCGGCGTGGTCATCTTATTTGTTTGACTACTATGATGTTCGTCTTTTCAGCACGACCTCGTTTAAATTCTGCCACCCAATATTCTTTTTGTCGTAAACGAAGGAGCAGAACTGAGATCATTTAAATCAGAGGTTCCCAAACTTTTTTGTGCCGTAGACCCCATGACATGCCATGTTTTTCGGTTTTGGGTAGACTCCCTACTTACCTAATATTGATTTTTTGTAAATTTATTATTTATATTGGGACATCTTCATAATTGTTAAGATCTTTGCTCTGATACTGTTCGTATGCTTCAAAATGTATAGCGACCACAAAGCGAATGCCTACAACTTACACAATTTTATAAACATATATAATATTTTTTTTACTTCATAGGTACTTTTATAAATAATGTATATGTCTTTATATTATAAGATAGTATAATGTAAGTAAATAGGTACTATTAGTGTATGTTGAGATCCACTATTGTGGACCCCCATTTTCATTTCATGGACCCCCAAATTTTTATTTCGCTGACGTAGACCCCTTGCAGGTTGTTATAGACTCCTAGGGGTCGATATAAACCACTTTGGGAATCACTGATTTAAATTAAAGTATTGTATCACATAATGATGATCATGTTCACGTTCATGTTCACTATTGATTGCTGACTAAACAGCGTCTTCAAACTTAACGTTGTTTTTTTTTCAATCATCTGAAATATCTATATATATTCTATTTAAACAAATAGTTTTTAAGTTCTTATTGGTGTTGTTATAAGTTTTGAATATTTTTCTGTTTCTAATATATAATTGGACATATTTATTTCAATATTTAGTTGTTTGCTGAACAGTATACGCGATTGAATAAAATAATTGATTTTAACGCCAGTTCTTAGAAATCTTATTAACTACAATGATTCAAAACTCTACCACCCCAATTCGATATTTTCTAATAGAGAGGTACGCTTTCCAGGAATATGTTAAATAGGGGAATCCATTTCGTGGAATCAAAATTACCAAGCAGTTCGTTTGCATTAAATTAGTTTCGGTTCAATTATTATTTGCTTCGCGCGGCGTGAAAAAAAATATTAAGAGAAAACGCAAGTAATCGTTCGTGGAAAAACAGAGACGTTAACAGGCAAGCCAGGTGTTGGCTCGTATTAGATCACCGAAGATAAATAACTATTGTATTACAATAATTAATGTATATGTTATCGCTGAAGAGTAGAATCCGTTCTTCCATGAAATAATTAGTTATATATTACAAATTGTTAAAGTACAAAATAGTTTCCTGTCTATAAATAATAATTAAATGAAAATTTCAAAAATTTTATATAAATTTATTTGATATTTTATAAAAAATACAATGACTTAAAATAATATTATAAACATTAACTGTATATCATTAAAAACCTATAAATATATATAATAAAAATATTAAAACTTTAGCAAGAATTTGTATATAATATTGTAGCAATTCGTTTTCCTTGGATTGTGAAATTTGTATTATAGTATTTTAATTATAGATCAAAGAGGATGAAAATAGACTTGGCACATCTTAATGTAGATGATTAAACCGCCATAAGCGATAAGAACTTTGAAAGGCAATTAAATTAGTCAGGATAATTGATTATTTCGTAATGTTTTACGAATAGTCGGATCGCAAAGTTGAAGTGAATACATTCGAGGCGTCGACCCAGTTTTTTCGCGTGTAACATAAAACCGAAGCTACGTAGGTGCATTCCTTGATGAATTATAATATTATTTTGTGTTCTGCGGTGGATCGAGGCGTTCTTTTTATTAAGTTTGTTACAATAAGCGCGGTTGACAAAGTATTTGTGTGGTGCTGGTAATGGCGATGATGATGATGATTATGATGATACTCTAAAGTCTAGTATATTATAATGTGTGTTTTAATTAAAGAAGTTATTAATAGCAGAGTGATACGCGAGAGGCCCCGCGTAATACTACACCGCCTAAAGGGGGGCAGCCCCCTTTTGGATACCACCACCTCTACCACCGCCGCCGCCTCAAACTCTTCGCACATCCACACCTCTTCCCTCCCCCAAGTATATCTCTTTACGTGCACTACACGTTTTAATAATACCAGAAACCGGTGATGGTGTTGCACTTGCAGTTTCTGGAAACTGATAGTCCGATGTTCGCAGCCTGATGTTGATGTTGTTGTTACCGTTTATTACGGTGCATCCCTTTCGGCCGTGCTAATCACACGATAAACAAATTAACCCGATCTGTGCCGTTGCAACACCGATCCCAACCCCCGGGCCCAACCCTCGCAGATCAGTTACAAGGCCGAAAAGTAATACGCGATCCCGTCTCGTCTTACAGAAACACCTTCTCCCCATCACCCATCCCTCAACTACCCTCGCTGCTCAACAGATCGCACCCCACAAAAATCCCGATCATTCACACCTCGTATCCCCAGCGAGTTTACAGCTTCTAATTGAATTTTTTCCATATTTGTATGTAAACAATATCAACACAAATAAACAAGTTACGCTTTTTAAATTCCATAAATCCATTATTTTTTCCATTACTTTTTTGTAAGTTTTTAATAAATAGGATATTGTTATATATAATATATACCACATATTATATTTAAAATATTGCAGATTGTAGCAAATATAAAAAAAAACTTTAAATAGATATTTGTTATATATATTAGGTTGGCAACTAAGTGATTGCGTATTTTATTCGCAAATCGAGTTTCTTGACATAGTTTTGGAATGCATGTATGTGATACATTGAGCTTTTCTGCTCACCGATTGTGTTATGAGGATCTGAATCGATAATAGCCTTGATATGGGTCTCATCAACTTCAACTGGACGGCCAGATCGTTGCGCATTTTTCGGTCAAAAATCACCAGAACGAAAACCAAAAATCAAACCGATTTTCACACTGCCTTTCTTTCGAGGCTTCATTCCCAAATACGGTACATAACTGCTTGCGATGCATTCTTGCCTTTTCGGAAATAATACAATAAAATATGTCCGAACTGTGCGTCTTGTTCTTCCATTTTTAAATTGGGATAAAAATAAAACGAAATAACTAATCGATACAATTTTTTACAAAATTAAAGATGGAAGTCCAAACAACAAGCAAACAATATAGATTAATTTCTTTGAACACGTTGACAAAACATAAGAATGTTTTAAGACCACCTATTGACAACATCCGCAATCAATTAGTTACCAACCCAATAGTATCTAATTTTAAGTATTACGTTAAACACTTAATGTGGAAATATTTTTCATGAAAGTTGAATTACAAAATTTGTTGGCTTTTTGACCATATTCTCTATGTGATTCAATATACAGCAATATTTTGCATAGTGCGGTTTCAATCAGTGCGAATTCACTATAATATATTGAATCCGCACTGTGAATATATTGAAAATTGAGGAAAATTCTAAAAATTAGTATACAACAATATTTTTTGATATTTTTTTCCCAGTATAAGGTCTAGTTTTTTGTGATTTTTTATGTGTTATTACTGTATTCTTTTCATCGGAAAATATTTTTCCGATGTCACAAATTGTCGAAATTTGGACACATATGGTTATGAATATTTAACTAGGATAATTTCATTTTCTTTAATTTTATCATATTTTTTCTATTTTACAATTATTTATCAACTCTTCAAAATGTATTTCTATTATAAACATTAATATGATTGAAAAAATAGTAGAAATACATAATAGTCAAACAACAATAATAAATAATAACAATATTTATTGCAACAAACTTAACAAATTAACATAAGAAAAATGAAATTAAATCAAATTATTACAAAGGGCTACTGAGCATAGGTCTTTCTATGTAAACAATAATATTTACAGTATGTTGTATGTAAGCAAATTGTAGAATATTTATACTTTTCTTAATTAGATCATTTTTTTTTTAAATATTTTACAAACAAAATAGAAATAAATTGTAAATACATTTGTTTATCTGTTATATAATCAACTCTCTTTTTGGTTTGTTTTTTAAGCGGTTTTAAAGTCTTTGATTAGTCCGGTTTCAAACAGTGCCATGTTTTTTTGTACTCTCAATTGAATTTTTTAAATAATAGATATAATCTATTATTAAATAGTCAATTTCAATTGATTGATATAATAAAAAAATATATATAATAAAAAATGTTCTATAAGAAAAACACAATTTGATCATTGTTTAAATGATTTTTAAATACATTTCAAATAAACTTACAATGATATTAATTATTTGTTATAGGAATTTGCAGAGACTGCGATGAACGAGCTTCTGGGGTGGTATGGTTATGGTCCGAACCATAGCAAAGATATCATGCAACAAAGGACCACTAATTCCTGCAAATCGAGATCAAACAGCAACAGCTCAGGACCTGATTCACCAAAATTCACGGGTAAGCTCCATACTATTCGCTAATAAGCAAGAAGTTATGAGAATAGTGAGATTTATTCGTGTGTTAATTAGGTATTTAAATTAGAGCATTAAAATGTCCAAACATGTATTTTTTGGAATTGGAAAATGTTGTGATATGGTTTTGTAAATTTTTCTATCAAAAGTAATTTACTTCATCAGATACTTCATACTTTAGTTAAGATTTACTTAAAGAAAAAAATATAATGAGACAAGTGTTATGTGTTGTAACATTATTATGAATTAACAAATTAATGTAATATAAACTTTACTGCAATGGTTAAAAACAAAATTAAACATTTTAATTCACAACAATAATAATTAAAGATAAAATTTAGCTACAAAGTGCTATTGACCATAGGTTTTTCTGCCCGGATTATTGATTATTGAGATATTAGTATGCAATATAGAAGTTGTAATTATATGCTGACTTTACTGGACTAAAGGAATGAAGCTGTAGTAAAGATATTCTGTGATGAAAATAAAAGTTTATAGCATTATAAGTTCTCAGTTGTGAAATTAATATTATAAAGTTGGCATTTTATAGGGGATCGAGGAAGAAGTATACTTCTTGAATTTTAGTTTTCACGTAAATCTTTTACATGAAATTAAAACCAATTAAAGTTGAATTATTTTATGTTGAAATAAATTAAAATAACATTTTCTATAATATTATTTTATTTAATAATAAGATAAACTATTATTTTAATGTTATAATTAGTATATACATGGAAGCTGTAAAATTTCAAACAATTGCGTAATCGTATAATTGTATTTCAATATATCATATTATTAAAAATTCTGATAAATTAGAACAATGGGAAAATCAACATCTTGAAATTGATAATAAATGGGTGGACATATTTAATCATTTAAAAAATGAACACATTCCATATGAGAATTTAGTTATTCTTGTTGAATATACGTTGTGCTGTCCTCGAACAACTGCAGCAGTTGAAAGAGTTTTTCAATTCAATATGAAGGATATTTCTTTCTCCGAAATTTCCAATATATTGTTAGAAAATGATATATTGACAAAACATATTCATTAAATGAAAAAATATACATTTAATTAAATAATTAAAAGGGATGTAAACACAATTAGTGTATTTTTCTTTGAATTTTTAAAATATTTCATTTATTAACATTGTACTGTTTTCTTAAATTCTTTCGTCCTCCTTTTCATTGGTCACCTTAATATTATCTTAGAACTTTCTTGTTGCAATTAATTAGGAGATACTTATATATTTTTTTTATAAATAGTTATTTTAAGCAAAATAGTCGGTAAAACGCCGATTATTTGAATAAGACCGGCTTTTGTGGTGGATAATGGTTGTTTATTTCGCTTACCCCGAGGTTTTTTTTAATCATTGTAAAAGATCAATTTTTCATCACTCGTTATCACCACTTTAAAATCGCTCTCTTATATCCAGTGACAGATGGACAGATACAATTTTTTATCCGTTAATTTATGCGAAATACCTCTGTTAAATCAGGTTGTATAGTCTAGGTTATATATAGTGTGTTGATTTGGCCATCATCTATGTTCGAGGGTCGGACACGTTCGTGGTCTTTGAAATCATCAGCTCTAATCTAAGCAAATCACTTACATATAGTTCTTTAAGCTAAAGCAACATCTCCGTGAAATGTACTTGTTTTTTTTTCTATCTTCAATAAGGTACTAAACTGACACAAATAATTTCATTCTAAAGGATAGTTGAAATTTCACCTTTGTTAATGTTTTTTTTAATTCTTATACACAAAAATCTAAGTATAATATTGGGGTTTCCATAAAGCACAACACAATATTATATACTAAGATATTTAGACAATTTTGAAAGAAAACATCCATTCATTGAAAATCGAACAGAAAGCAAATTAGCACATATTTATTTAAAATATGAAAATATAAATCAAATTTAAATTAGATGTATCAATAAGTGAAACCTCGTGAAGGTTATCCGACTTTGTCGCAATTATTAAATCTTCACTTTGGCTGCACAAAGAAATCCGCTCGATTGGTTTCACTATTTTTAAGGATAAATTTTTGAAAAATCGTAACAGGTGATGAATCTTGATTCTATAAGTACGATCCGGAAACCAAGCAGCAGTCCATGGTATAGACCGCAGAAGATGCAAAGCAAGACAATAAAAATCAACAACAAAAGTGACGATGTCGATATATTTTAAAAGGGCAAAAGTGGTAGTTGCTATCTCACTGAAAACTGGTCAGATGGTAACTACTAAGTAGTACACAGAAAACTTGTTTAGAACTCACCCACTCACACTACTGAAATAACCAACTTTCTTGCGCTATCTGGCATTAATGAAATTTACACAGCACCTTATTATACCGACCTAGCGTCTTGTAATTTGTGGCTGTTTCCGAAAATAAAATAAAAAGAAAGTAAAAAGTTTTCAGTTCCAATGAAGACATCATTAATTAAAAATTGAAAAGCTCCAAAAAGCCGATTTTGAGAAATATTTGAAAGGCTCTACTGACTTAAGAAATGCATTGAAATAAATGGAAATTATGTAGAGAAATTACTAAATTAAATATATTAAAATAAAATTGTTTTTATACTTTCTAACTTTTGTTAGACCCCACGTATACATTTTCATATTTAAAAATATTGTGTTCAAAAACTAATTCAAGAAATATTATTTTGTTGTGTCGGTAGTAATGTATATATAATTAATGAGAAATACATCAAGTACAATACATTATCTCGATGTGAGCATTGCATACGGAAAATAATCTTAGCTACTATTAAGTATATTTGTAAACCCTAAAGTTGTGTTAATATGATCATTATAGGATTGATTTTGTCGAGTATTAATCTATTAAATTAAGATATAACAGCAACATTTGTTAGTTTGTATATTTGGTAACATTGTATAAATATTTAATTATCAACAGATAATATTGATGAACGAATGTTTATAATCTTAGATTTGTTAATAAAATATTTGCATTTATATTAAAATATTATGATATGTATGTATATTTGAACAAAAATATATTTATTGTATATCTTTCATATTTCAAAATGAATGCCTTTCTATATATAATTACTGTCATTATTTTTAAAATATTGCATCTGCTTGATTGCAAATAGAAACTGTTATTATGCAAATGCCGCACCCTGTATTTAATGTTATCTTATCAAATATATAAATTATTTATAATTAGTATAGTTAAAAAAAGGTAATTGTATTTTGCCGCAATCGAGTAACTTTCAAGTACTGGAAACCGTGGAATTTTATTCTCTCGTTTCCTATTAATTTTGCAGCTACCCGATCCACGAGTAGTAGAGAAAAATGAGATTTAAAGAAAAATGATCCGGCTCTCTATGATGCACAGAATTGAATGAAGATGAGAGAGAAAAAGAGGAAGAAGAGAAGCTTCTCCGCCGCCGCCGAGGGCCACGCGCTTTGGCTAATATTACACACGATGGGGGCCAGAAATAGTTCACGTTCCCCTCTAGCCCGGTCTCTTTTTTGGATTATCTTACGTTCATCGGTGCTTGCTCCCCACAGAAAAGGAGTTCGATGCATACCATCATGAACAGAGCAAAAACGCTGTATCAAAATCGAGAAAGAAAAATAAAACAAAATACGTATGCATCAATGAAAAAAAATAGGCAAATAATAACAATAACAACAGAACGTATTTAGTTTGAAACGCGAATGATGGTATAAACAGCGACTGGTGTACGAAACCGGAGAAATATTCCAATTAATTAGCATTGTTTCATTGGATTCAATTAAAATTTTCAATTATACATACATAATATTTATATGAGGAACTCGGACCCGTGCATTTATGTAATTGTATATTAAAATATCGGGCCTCGCTCATTATCATGCACATCATCATAACCATCAACATCATCATCGTCCGGGATTCGTTCCCATAATTATTGCAAAAGTATTAATCAGTGTCGGGTTTCGCGATCGAAATGATCATAAAGTGGTGCCCCTGTCTCGTTCCCGTTTCCGGCAATTCCGAACCTGGCGCGAGGGGTGGACGGTCGGAAGTGAGGGCGAGGGGGTGTCTATCTCATCAATATGATGATGTTCATCATCGGCATCATAGATGGACGGGGCCAGCTGCAGTTGTAATAATAATTACTGTTTTACGGCCGCCCGCGATGCAATTATATTTTACCAGCGCAAAACCGGATATCGATGAGATCTCCGTTAATTAATGGCAGTCTAAACCTCCCTCGCTTTTGTGTTCTTCTACATTTTATATATATATATATCTCTACGTCCATACATTTATTCGTTGCCTAATCTAAACAATTACCGAAATCAATTAAAATTATATAATTGCTTTAATTGCCACCTGATACATTCAAATTCATAAGGTAGTCAATTTAATTGCGAGTTTTTATTTAACATGTTTACAAAATAATTAAAGGTGCAACAATCGTTATTCTTTACCTCAAATATATAAAATGCAATTATAAATTGGATTTAACTAAAGGAAAAAACAATCTGTTTTACAAATTTCACTTAATTCAATAGTCTACAATGTAAATATTTTGAATAACTATAACTTCTTATAAGCACTTTTAGATTGTACTCGATGTATCAAGTCGATTTAAAATTTAATATAAATCAAGTTATTATGAATCATTGTTTATGATTTGCTTGTTCATGTTGGTCGTTTAGAAAAGTAAATAAAAATTAAAGAAACGAAGAAATAGACATTGGCTATTGGTCTCTCCGATCTACATTAATTTAACTTTCTAGATCTACACAATACTCATACACCATAAAATTGTCATATTTTAAAAATTATCTAAAAATATAACAAAATTCTTCTGTTAGTCCTTTAGTCTTTATAAACTTGGGATAATAAAATCAATTTGGGACATCTAGAATGCGTATTAGTATTTATGGAATTAGGATAACGAAATCAAAGATTGTTTTTGTTACTACGGTAACAAAGGCAAGACCAGATAGATAGTTTATTCTTAAAGAAATTTTCTCCTATTTGATATATTTGTCAAATAAATGTTAGTAATGTACAGGAATGAGATGCGGATAAACACAAAGTATTGTATACTATTCATAGATAAAGAGATATGTCAGCTGTATATGTTGTGTTAAGAATTTTATTCTGAAATCGTTTCCGTTTGGCAACGGAATAGCTAATGTCACGCTTCCAAATTCTATCCACGTCATATGTCACTTAACTTTTGTAAGTCAAGCGACATGTGATAAGTATCTTATGGACTTTACACTGTATTCCTTCATGCATATTTTCCTTTATAAACAATTGATTTTCTGTTAATAAATTGGAATATCGATTTTCCATTTTAAAAATTAATTAAAAATACCCAGGGTATCCCAAACTTTTCCTGTAAGGGCAATTCTGAAATTTTCACCTGCCCTAGAAAATAAAAAGGTGTTTATTTTTTAGTTTATCTAGTCACGCATATTTAAAAAATGAGAAAAACATTATTTATTTAGTAATTGTTTCATTCCTGGTTCTGCGGAATATAGTTTGGGAAACTCTGATTTGATATTACATTGAAGCGAAATATCTGCCAAACATAGTACATTAATTAATTGTAAATAATTATGGTGACTTAATAAACTTTCAAATAATTAATTAAAGCAGTGGTTCCCAACGAGATTCCCCTGGAGTCGATGGAATTTTGAAAAAAGTCTATTGAATTTTACGGGCCGATGAAAAATTATAATGATGAAATCTATAATAATTTGCTTTTGCATACGGAATATCTTCTGTTGTCGATAGGCAATAATTTGTAACTTATCATTAAAACGATTATTTTTGTAACAGAAATTTTGGAATCTGATAAAACTATGGCGAAAAATTGATTGAATCAAGAAAACGAATATTTTCTTTATTTAATAAAAATATTTATATCTGTTTTAAATCGAAAAAGATAAAATTAGCGCGGTAATATTCAACTTTACATGGACAACTTAAAACAATTAAAAAAGATCAATGTCTGTTGCAAAGGTTTACAAAATTTAGATGTATCATATTGGAATTTAAAACCATTTGAAAGCAATACAGCCAATATTGCTCCTTACAAGAATTGTTTGAACTAAAGAAGAATTTGGAATCCAAATTTTAGAGACTACTAAAATTTAAGATTAATGTTGACTATTTTTACACCTAATATGAAAAGTATTACTGGAAAACATCAATAATAAACATTTCATTATTATTTTTAAAGGCGATTATTAGTTGTGTGACATTGTAAAATTGGTTAATAAAAAAATGTTATGTTGGTGGCCAATATCAGGGGTCGGCAAAATGACATTTAGATACCTTGAAGATTCAGTTAAACAATCATGAACACTATATGGTATAGACATATCGACCTTTTTTAAAGGAATTTATTTACAAAAATAAAAATAAAATGTAATTTGTTTTATTTTCTTGTAGAAGGATGCGGCTGGTGCGGAAAAGTAGTTGACGATAGCAACGGATTATCTTCAGGCTCATCTACCTTCTGTTCTGAACTGTGCTTTTCGCAATCCCGACGTGCGAACTTTAAGAAAAACAAAACTTGCGACTGGTGTCGACATGTGCGGCACACCGTTTCTTACGTCGATTTTCAGGTAAAAAGAAATGAAAGTAATAAAAAGAAATATAACTAAATTTTACACTTGATCATTATCAATATCAAAGAGGAAACCTCACAAATACTAAAGAATTCAGATTGAAAATTTGTTGAGTTAGCGTGTGGTAAAACTAGAAATATCGCAATTTATTTGAAAAAGAATTCAAGATTCCTTAATATTTATTTTTTTTTCGTATAAAAAATCTGAACTTTTTTTTCTGTTGCAGGACGGAGCATCACAGTTGCAATTTTGTTCTGATAAATGTCTAAACCAATACAAAATGCATATTTTTTGCCGGGAAACGCGAGCGCACTTGGAAATGCACCCCCATCTGATAGGGGAGGATTCTACGACAGCTGGGCTGATAACGCCCGACCTCTGGTTAAAGAACTGCAAATCACCACCATTGTCGTTACCTACAACGACGACGACAACCTTGGGAGCGCCTACATCACGAACGCCATCTCCCGTCTGTCGCGAGGAACAGACGTCACCGCTACCACTGATCACAGTAGCACACCCCTCAAAGTTGCTCGCTTCTCCGCCAGATCGCATAAGGAGTCCGAGGGTGAAGCGAACGCGGAAACGGCAACCCTCAACCGCGACAAAGGTGTCTGAGTCGCCGCAGGATCTGCGGATAAGGCACTCACCGATCCCAGATCCGCCCCATGTATACCCACCTCATCAACCTCATCAACCACAGCAACCACCTTCTACTCCTCATCCTGCGGCTCCCGACCATCACTACTACCACCACCAGCTACCATCATTTCCCCCACATCCGATGCTGATGCGACCTACCAACTCGGTGCTTCCTCCCGTAACTGTAATGGTGCCCTACCCGGTCGCTGTGCCTATCCCCATCCCCATTCCAATCCCGTTGCCGCTGAGTAGTTTCCTGAAAGCGGCCGAAATCAAGAATAACCTCTTGAAAGAAGCGGCGGCCGTAGCAGCGGCAACTGCAGCTAGTCAAAATACGGAAGAGTCTAGTCAGAATACCACGGCGCCGGTTGAGGACGAGCCTGAGGTAGAGCAGGAGGTCGAAGATACCAAGGAGGACGAGATTGTAGTTGACGACGTGAAGACGAGTCCCACGAGATCTGTGAGGAAGCGAAAACGAGTCGTCGAGGCAAAAGCCAAAATAGTCTTAAAATCGAAGAAACCCCTAAGCGTCTAACCCTTTATAACCTCCCCACACATGTTTTTTTTTGTTTTCTATTTCTATTGTAATTACTACAAATATATACACATTTTGTCATATTTTCTATTAATTGTAATATTTTCTGATTACTTACATATCAAAATAGAATATTTATTATTTACTCGTGTGTTTTGTTACTAATGAAGGAGAGGAGGAAGTATATGCTCTTACTTCTTATCCATATAAAAGCCACCCTCCCACCAATCTTCCATGCCCGAGAAAATAGAATTTTCATAAAGCGGAAAACTTCGCCGACGTCGTGCAAACAAAACTTTTCGAATATATCTAATCTACTGCTGACTATTAAAGGATACAGACGCGAAAAACATTTTAATTTATGAATATGATCGATTTTCTCTCGAAATAAGCCATTTCCAATATTTATAATTTAAAATATTTCACTAAAGATATCAAAAAATCTATATATCTAATAAATACTTACACCAAATCACTGTATTTAATCTTTCGACACTACATATATGCCCCTACATGCATACAAGAGGTTATATTATAATATTAACACAAAGTTCTTGACATAATTTCATTTGTTCAATATTATGTTTCAATATCAATATAAAAGGTGGTGTATCAAGAGTTAAACAATTTGGTTTTATTTAAATAAAATTACAAAGTATAATAATAAGCATGATGTTTTTATTGATCATTCAAATGGATGGAAGACAAATATTAATTTAATTCACTAGAAATCAGTTTTTGATGTAACCGTATTTTATTTTGATAGCATGTTAAATTTAAATGAATGAATCAAAACAATCTAAAATATAAACAATCAACGTTCCTCCTCAGCGGGCCGCTGTAAAATTATCAAACCTTGACAGGTCTGCTGCGAGAAAAAGGTTCAGGAGCATTGTTCTAGAGCACCAATAGCGTCTTCTTCGACTACACAAATTTCTTCTGTACCCTCAACCGTCTTATTTTACGGTTCGATCTGGACTGAACGTAATTCCAGAGTCATCATTGTACGGAGGAGCGTAGTTGAAAACTTTATAACGTTACATAACATTCTATTATAATTAGATGTATTATGATGTACAATGTATTAATTATCGCAGACTTCCTAAAATTATAAAGCATAGTAATAAGCATGTTTTTATTCCAATATAAACAAAAAACATGTAGATTATTTATGATATAACAAACCATTTAAATGGATGGCATGGGTACTCTTGCAGACAAAGATTTCTCGATTTTTTTAATGTTGTAAAGAATGTGTACTTTTAAAAATATACATGATTATAATTAACATTATAATTAGACGGTTTAATCATGAAATTATTAAAATATGCCAAGTAATTATCGCAGATTTCCTTTCTTCTGGCAATATTGAAATAAAAAATAAACAAATATATAATAGCAAACAAAATATAGAAATAATATTGAAGAACGAACTATATTGGAGGTGGAATAAGCAAAAATTGACAAACGAAGAAATTTGTAAAAAAAAATAGAGAATGTTGGGAAATGAATCAAAATGAAAGTAGACAGGAAATGCGTAAATCTGTGGACAAATGAGATTAACAATTAGAAGAACCTAAGACATTGGAGAAGCAATTAGTGAAATGTGAAGATATGAAGGAATTGTATGAAGTCGTCTTCACCTCTAAACACAGCAAGCCCCAAATAAATTTGGAATGAAGAAGACATTAATATTATTTACATTGTCAATTACACAATTAATCGTTTTTTATATTTTAAGGTCAAAATATAATATAATAATTTTAATATAATAATTTTAATTTTATATATAAAGACAAAAACATTTAGAAAATTTTGAGTTTAATACTAATATTTTATAGAACGCATTTGTGACTGAAATAAATAAATATCTTTGAAAGTTTTTCTACTAAGAATAAATTTAATATCAGTTTCAAAAAATGTCTTTGAATATTTAGTGGGATAATATCGTCTATTTTCTATAGTGAAATTGTTGAAAATTTCTTTTATTCTCATAGAAACACATAAAAACATTTCTCATATAACGCAATTTGCGTAACGCGTCATTTCTATAGAACCTAACAGCCCTTGTTTAGGCAGAAGTGGTATTCACTTTGTATATTTTATTTGACATACTTATAAAGTATATGTATCATATATCCTACACAAAGAATTATAAAAACGGTTACTCATTAAAACACTGTTTTCAACTTTTTTAACTCACGGTACACTTAAACCAATAGTTTCTCGGCATATTTAAATTATGATGCTGTTTTAATTATTATAAGTACCCTTATTGTGTTTTGAACTTCCATAGAAAATAATTTTATTCATGTTTAATAAATGCGGTACATTTGCAAATCTAGTTATTTAGATTTATTTGTTTTAATTGACTTATGGTCAATAGTCCATTGCAGTGGTTGTATTTTTGTTTTCTTATCATTATGATTATGTAAAAAAATGTTTAATTTAGTTTTGACTGGTGCAGTAAAGATTAGTATTATTTATACGTCGTCTGAGTTTATTAATAAACTATAATAAAATTGCTTACTTTTTAAAGTCATGTGTTACTTTATATCACCTTTCCTCTACTCCTCGATGATAAAACTACAAAGTATCGAAACATACAATAAACTCCGGGACACGACAAGAATTCAAAATGTTTTTTTTCATAAAGTATGTAGCGTTTTGATATCTTCTATAAATTTCACGAATTTTTGGTAAACGAAAGAAAACTTACTTGGTTTTAATTGATAATGTTTTTAAAACGTGTTTGACAATGTTCTTAAAAAAAACAAACATTTTCTCTTGGCAGCAATTTGAACATTTCTGGTAGTTTTGTTTGGAGATTTTCATTATAATTATTCATTTTTAATATAAGTTTTTATATTAATATTAATTTTTAGATTAAGATTTTGATGATTTTAAAGTATAATAATATTTATTGCAAAAAATAAATTGAAAAATAAAAAATAACTTACCACAATACTAAAAATGATATTCAACTGCTGCAAAGGGAAGTTATTGCAATAATTATAATCAAAATAATTTATTCTATACGCGTACATGCATAATGCATTATTAATCATGGGCAACCAATGGCCTCATTACATATTTGTATAAGTAGTCTAATAATTAATTAATTAGTTAACAATAATCATTGTTTAAAAAAATAATATTTTGCTTTACTTAAAAAAAAAACCGAGAATATTTGCATCATTTTATTCGTTAATATTTTCAATTAAATAATCTCATTTTTGCAATATATTTTGATCGATTATTGTAATTTCTTCACAAAAAAAACAATATTATTTTAAAGTTTTTGTTTTGTATTTATTTCAAAATAAAATGATTAAAGATCAAATTTAATGTTTATTATAGGTTATTAATATTACTTAGTTTTCAAAATCGATATTAGTATCTAAATTTTATATAATTTTTATACATTAGTGATCTCAGTGGCGGCCAACTATTTCTATTATTGATTTATTTATTCTTATTTCAGTTATTTTTGTTGTAAACTAAATATATAAAGATCTTTTTTTTAATTGTACAAAGTAAACATCGTAGGATGGCATATACATGGAGCCTCGATCGAAAAATCCATACGATTACTTTTTGATGGAAAAAATGCCGTTCAAGTAAAGCAATGGCTTGGTAAGTGTTATGGGAACTCTTCTCCGTCGCCCAAATTTGGCAATTGTTACGGAAAACATAAAAAAGTCCAGAAAATGGTTTTGGCCGATCATAAATTGATGTTGCGTGATATAGCTGACACCCTGAAGATATCAGAAGGCAGTGTATTCACCATTTTGCATGAAAATTTGATCATGAGAAAGCTTTGTTCGAAATGGGTTCCGCGTTCAAGCTCAAAGTGGACCAAAAACAACAACGAATTGAAGGGTTTTTTCATGCGGTATGTAACAATAGATGAAACCTACACTCAAGAGTTTATGGTTAAGTCGATTCTGCAGCCGTTTAATTCAGATGGTAATATCAAATCGTAGTTTCCAGGCACGCTACCTACCAGCTGTTGTATGAAACTTGTATTACTGTGACGGGATTCACGGTAACTAGGTACATTGGCCAACATCCGCATGATCCCCAAACCAGGAAAAGATCTTACTTCACTGGAATCATACCGACCCATCTCTTTACTGCCGGTCTTGGGAAAACTGCTTGAAAAACTAATACACAAAAGGATCCTCAATCACTGTGCTGAACACCACATCATTCCAGAACATCAATATGGCTTCACCAAATACACCTCAACTCAACACGCTCTACTGAACCTGTCCACCCAGCTAGTCAACAACATCAACTCCAGATTCTACTCACCAGCACTTTACCTCGATATTCACCGAGCGTTTGATACTGTATGGCACAACGGCTTGCTCTTGAAGATGGAGAGAGACAACTTCCCGCAATATCTAATCGAACTAATACAGAGCTACTTGTATAAAAGAAGTGCTGCAGTCAAGATAAGGTCGACGCTCTCGGAGGCGGTGCGCATTGATGCCGGGGTCCCTCAAGACGCAATTCTCTTCCGACACTCTACTGCGCTGATATTCCCACCCCTGATGATGATTCCACTCAATTACAACAGTATGCCGATGATACGGTAATTTGGTCTTCACACCGTATCCCCGCCATTGCTATCGAATCCCTTCAAGAGGCCTGCCGGCGGTTGGAGTCATGGATGAGAAGGTGGAGAATAAAACCAAACCCCACCAAATCACAGTTTATTGGTTTCCGACACACCCTATGCAGCAGAAGATTCCCACACTGGGGATCAACCTTTGGAATGTCGACATCAAAAAATCTGACACCACTAAATATCTCGGCATCTTTCTTCATCGGAACCTCAATCAAAGTACGCAAATTGTAAACATTCTTAATCTCCGCTTCAACCTTAAAGCCTGCTTCAGATCCAAACTGTATCTTCCTGTTTAAAGAATGTTCTGACTTACTCTACAAATATGTGCTTCTTATCCTTATAATGTAATTTTTTTTATATATATAAAAATCTGTAACCCACAAACTGCGTGCTGAAAGAGATTAGGCTTAAGCAGTATGACTACTTATGTAAAACT